ATGAAAATTGTACATTATTATTATATAAAAAATGTAGTTCCTTTTTCGTATTAAGAAATAGGAATATAAATTATAATATATTTGTTATTTTTTAATTTTACAATGAAACATATATAATAAATATATTTTTTTTCACAAGCGCTTACTGTGATAGATAATATTAAGAAAATATAATTATAACTGTATTAAAAACGGAATAATACGAAAGAACAGATATATAAGTCAAAATATAAAATATAAAATCATGGGTAATATGTTCTTCAAAGAAAAGTAACTGCAACATAATTGTCATGAGCAATATATTATTTTATTGATATAAGCTCATGACGTAATTAAATGTTTATATGAAGTGATAGAAAGGAGAATAATAAAAAAAAAATTTGTATACAATTGGTCTATATAACAAATATTACAAGACAGAAAATAAATATATAAATATAAAAAATTATATGATCAAATTTATGAAAAAGAAAAGGTTTTTATTGAAATAATATTAATAATAATATATTTTCAAATGATAAATAAAAATGTACATATAAAATAATATATAATGTTATATGATATAAAGGCATATTAAAATAATAAAATTAATATTATCTATAATATTATTTACATATAATGACCATACATTATTTAATGCTCATAAATAAAATCTAAAATATAAGAATAATTAAATGAATCATTATAGTACAATTCTAAAGCATTCTCATTAATATTATTAAAAGTATTAATTAATACACTGATTATATAAGATACGTAAATTAACTATAAAAACGTATTACTAAAAATAAAATATAAACCCTTAGAACTAAACCAAAATACTAAAATATATACACTAAAAGCGAACAAAATAATCACACGGACTAAACAGTGAAAAGTAAAAAATAGAATATAAAATATATAAGAAAAAATATAAACAGAATATCCCAAACTCCTAAAACTGAACGAATAACATAAAATCCTAAACCATGAACCAAGTGGAACAAAAAGTTGCATTTGTTAAAGTAATATTGAAAAATAAAATAATCATGAATATATATATGATATCCTTAAAAATATAATTGAATTATAGAATTATCAGCAATATATAAGATATAAAATTTTTACTTCCCTTAGATATCAAAATACATGCTTTATGTTATTCTTATATTATTATAATTTTCATATATATAAATATATTATGATGAAAAATATTTTTAATATATTAGCACATGTTGTGAAAACAAATAATATAAATAGGCACTAATTATAATATATTTGTTGAATACATATATATGTACATAGAAATACATAAATTATATATGATAATCTTTTATATTATGCAAGAAGTAATGCCAGGATATATATATATATATATAATAAAAACAAAACTTATTTATATTTATTAATACAAAATTGCTTTTACTGCACTCTTCATATTTAATGAAATACTTGATAAAAAAAAATTGCATATAAAGAACACAATATAATGGAGGATCATATCAATTTAAATAAATCAAATTGATGTCTCATATTCTTTATATGTATAATAATAAATAAAATAATTTATGAAATTATGTTTGAATGAAAAAACGCTATTCATAATGTCACAAATAAAATAAAATTTTTTAGTTCTATTATCTTAGGTAATAATTCAAAAAGATAATTCTAATACATTGAAATATTATATGATTAAATAGGCACATTAAGTTCTTTTATTACTTTATATTGCATGTGAATTATTTTATTTTATATGATAAATTTGATGGAAGAATTCTCAGGACAGCTTTATTACATTATTCTGTATATGTTTTAAAGTAAGCCTTTATTTTAAATTAGAAAATTAATGGTAAATCTAAGGAGAATTATACAATATATTATGACTACTATTCCAAGAAGTGGTGCTATATAGTTCTGAATTTTTCAGTATATTTCTTGCTCCCTTGAAACTATGGAAATTATTTATTATATTTTTTAATCCACGATGCAAAAATGAATTATATGGAGTGAACTATTTCGTAATAGAAAAATATACGTATTAAAAACATATTAATATTATAATTTAGTTTTTTTTTTTTAGAATGATTATTAATTTATATAAATATATATATAAACATCACTTTTAACCTTATAAATTATAAATAATAAAACGGGTATTGTTAATATTAGAATAGTTGTTATTATAGCAGTTTTTGATTTATTAGTTCTTGGAGAGGTTATCTCCATGATGTCAGTGTATTCACAAGGTCCATTTTGACATTTAGCTTGAGAACAAATATCAGATGAATTTTGTAGACCATTTAATTCATTATTAATGTTTTCTAATGCAAAACAAAAAGAGGATACATTATTAGATTCACACGTTGTCTTATATTTTTTATATTTATCTGAACATTCAGTAATGCAAGTGCACATATCTTTGCCTAAGGGGTAAGAATCCTTTTTTATGTAATAAATATTAATATACATTTGATATAAATCATCCATTAATTGAAAATCATCATCTAACATATCATTTTTCTTATAGGACAGACATAAACTATTTATATATTGACTTACTGAACTTAATAATATAATATAAATTGTTCTAGTTTGTGCACTTATATTATTATATTCAAATTCTTTGCGCAACCAATAATATAAGTATAAGCAAAGTTCTTGGGTAGGTTCTTTTGTAAATTTATCATTTATAATTTTTGCAAACCACAAAGCTGCATGACACTTATCTTTATCGAATTTGTTTTGCATGTCAACTCTTGATCCAATAATGCCAGTAGTACATGGATCATTTTTTAAGATCAATCTATTCTCTTTTTTTTCTATAATTTCTTTATACTCAGGAAATTTTCCTACATATGTATACTAAGATAATAATGATGAATGCATTACATGCATAATATTATGTTAAAATGTTATCATATTAGTTATGGATAAGGGAATGTATTTACATTACAACAATGTATACAATATCATTATAACAATAACTTACATTAATTTCCATCATTATATAAAATATTACATATTTTTGGAAATCATATAGAGATGAAAAATTAAATTTATTAACATATATATATTTAAAAACAAAGATATAACATGAGGTAATATATGATTTAACTTTTAAAAATCATAGGGTTCATGAATATTTTCCTCATTCACCTAATTACTTATAAATACATTGCCATTGTTATAGTAGGGAGTAGACGTGACAAATAATATATCTTATTAATTATTAATATTATATGTAATGAAAAAATATATATAGATTATTTAGAATAAATAATTTATGTCGATTTAAAAGGTATAATATTAATGCTTTTATGCTAAGTAAAAATTATATAGTTTAGATAATCCTTCATATAATGTATATGTTGTTAATATATGATATTAATTTGAATTTGCACGTAATTTCAAATATAATATTCACTAGAAGAAGCTATAAAGTTTTGCAATAACATTCATAGTAGCACGTTCACCTTTTTATGTAAATATTTAATTAGCATTCAATCATTATATAAAATAGCTTATATCAGAATCATGTTAATTCTCTTTATTAAAATTAATTACTTATGGTTACAATGAAAGTTTTTATTAATATCTTTATACATTATAATATTTAGAAAAAAGTGAATGTTCAATATAAATTAAAACTAAATATGTATATTTTTAATCATTTATTTATTTTATGAATTATTTATATTTATTCATATATTTAATGTATAATAAGATTAAAAACTTTTCCTAAGAATATTTGAAGTTCCGCTAGGTTATTCACCTAAATCCGCAATATAAACTTTGTTTAAATAAAAAATATACAACATAAATGTAATACTTACAATTTTAATATTTTATCATTTTCATACATCACATAATATTATCGCATAGCATATTAATATATTTGCATGCTACAAATAACGAATTTACTGTATATTAAATTTAGTGTATATTGAATTTATATATATTTTTTAATTTTAAATTTATCAAACATAATATAATTTTACATGAAAAATAGAGAATACTTATGTTTTTTTATTTTTACATATTTAATTTGAAAATAGAGTAAATATAAATTAATATATTTGTACACATATTGCTCTTACATTAAAGAAAATAACATTTTTATTTTTAATTTAAAAATATGCATAGCATGTCATAAAAAATAAAAATGTATATTTTTTTCTAATAATAAAAACAATGCTTGTAAAATATTTTTTCGATTCATCGCTTATATAAACACTTATTTTTATGTTATTTTAGAAAAATCACAACATAAAAAGAATATTAAAAATGCTACACCACATGATGAATATTTTTTACTATGCTATTTATTACCTATTTTATTATAATGGATATCTATTAAAATTAAATAATTATATTTAAACATTTATTTATTATCTTAAATTTATGTAAGTCATAGATATTATTCAAAACTCTATGGTCTTATAATTTTTTTAATGAATTTCTTATATTATAGCATTTATGTACAAATTTCTGCAAAAATAATATATTTGGATCATTTTTTTTATATACTCATTGCTTATAAGTAATATATATACTTATGAATGCTTTTGGTATTCACAATTTTATTCCATTAAATATTTGTTAAATAAATATATAACTAATTTATAATATTAATTTACTATGAAGCCTTTTACATGCATAAATATGTAACTGTTGTATATTAGTAAATTTATGAAACTCCCACAAGTTGCTATTAGAAGAGTCCAAGTTTACGAATGAGTATAGGAATACTATATATTAATTAATATATGTACTATAATGAAACAATATAGAATGATTTATTATAATATTTTATCACTTCTATACAAATATATCAAGAAAAAAACATAAAATATATGAAAACTTTATATATATTTTTTTCATTTATTATTTAATGAATAAAGAGTGACAAGTAGGAATGATTTTAAATTACATTCTAATTACATAAATATTTTTTAAATAATATATAACAGCATAATAATAAAGTGAATGAGAATAAAAAAAATATATGTTTTTTTAGGCTTCATATTATAATGGTCGTAAAACGCATTAATAGTATGGATAATAATGGATTTAATCATAATGCAGAAGTAGTTGTTTTGTATATTATAGTTATTTAATTTGGAATTTTGTTATTAGTCCTTTAGGCTTCACATATTTGTTCACAATAATTTTTTTATTTCTATTTAATAAAAGATATTAAATAGATAATATAATTTATCTATATAAACATTGTTTCCATTTATGAATGACGCTGTATTATTGAATACGCATTAATAATATATATATAATTTATTGTTATTATGATTCCAAGTAATTTAAAATTTTATTCGTATGTATACTAAATTTTATTTATATATATATTCTAATAATTGAATATATTTATATATACTTATATACATATAAGAGTAATAATATAATAATTTTATTTCAATATATTTATAAATGAAATATTATAATACGACATATGAATTAATTACTGCAATATCATGAGTATTTTATATTTATTAATGTTTTATTTTATTTTTATTCAAGGAATTTATATAATTAAAAGAAATTTTGACATAATAATCATATTAAATTTAGGGTAAAAATATGCATATATATTTTTTTTCGTACATTATTATTCAGAATAAATTTATCAACATTATTTATTTTTTAATGTATATGTTTTAAAAATATTATATAATTTTGTATTATAAGTATTCAATATTTCAGATTATATGTTTTTAATGTAAAAGAAAAAAAAAAGACTAATAAAAAATATACAATTTTTTTGAATAAGCAATATAAATTAAAATAACATTCAAATTGATAATTGTTATAATAATATAGCGGATATTATTTTATTATTCTTTGTACATATATAACTGTAATTGTTTATTAATACTAAAAGAGATATAAATTTGTTAAATAACTTATACGTATATACGTGTAAATAATAATATTTTTTGGTATTGTGTATTTATTATTTATGATAATATTGTATAATAGTGTATTATATTTATTTTTATATTTACATAATTCTGATAAAGAATTTGTATGAGAAAAATTCAGTATAAGTTACTTTAAATTATTATAAAATAATATATATAATTTTATTCTAAAATTTATCATTTTACAATATAATAAATATCCTGTTTTTTATAATAATTATAATGCCTTAAATCCAGTATTAACATTGTATTTCATATAAATTGAGTTCAATAAAACTGCAACACATTAGTAAAAGTATTTCTATTTTACTATAAGAACGTTTTCTACTATGAATTAGATTATATTATAATCTTAATTATACATTAATTTAATATGTAATGGCAAAAACATAATTATTTTTACCATCTAAATATATATACTCAGTTAACTTTTTTATTAATTCTTGATAATTTTATAGTATATAAAATATACTTTTATTCACATAAATAGTGTTAATAATAATATAATTTAACAAAAATTAATATATTTTATAATAATGATGAGTTATATATGAATTCAATTTTAAATTAATTACAATATATTTATATATGAAATATTAGAAAAGCAATTGCTGAATTTTAACTTAGATTTACACATATCACCTATTATTATCATAAAAGGGAATTATACAAATGATGAAAATAAAAAAAAAATTCAAATGTATCATTGTATATGAAATAGTAAAAGTAATTATATTAAATGAAAAAAGTAAAAATTTTCGAAAAAGGGAAAGAATAATTTCAGGAAAATTATAAATAAATGGAAAATTGAATTATATAAAATTATGAGTAAATTTCCATACACGAAAAATTATGGTTTAGTATAATCAGATAGGATTATGTATGCATATTAAAATTCATGATCTATTGTATCATATAATTACAGAAATACTCAGTTTATTGATTTATACTATATTAATTTAAAATTGAAATAAATTTAATATTGACATTATTAAACGGCTCCTCAATAATGATATTTTAATTATAAATTTATAAATTTTTTTTTTATTATATTACGAAATACTCAAAAGTAATTGTATGGGGAAATATATAATAAAATTATTAGAAAGATTAATTTGAATATATGTATAATATATTATTGTAGAACCTAATTATATAGTTTTTAGAATTTTATATATAGGACTTTATAACATTATTATTCCAGTAATTATATAGGCAGATCCACGAATATAAAAAGAAAAAAATATTTTTATTTATCCATTATTTTTTAATATGAAATTAAGGATATAGTTGATAAAATACACAGTACATAATGGTAAAATTATATTTTGTTAAAAAATCCAAAAGGAAACGTTCTGAGAGACATAAATTTTTTGTTGTTCACAGTAACTTAAAAAAATGTATAATAAGCTTGTCAAATAAATTTTACGCATTTTAAGTGTTACATATGTTCATAAAGGAAGAATTTTTAGAAAATTATGTAGGTATGTAATATGTCCTAACACATTTATTAGAAATATTGATTTCTTAATACATATACAATATATAATTTTTGAAGCAAATTCCAAAAGTCATTACTTTTGAATTGATTGTATAATATTCTTTCTAAAAAGAAATT